ATGTGTGCATTCCACGAGCAGTCTTTTGCGATCTCTACTCCGAGGTATGTGTACTGGTCCACTACTGCAATCTCCTCGATCCCCCACTTCCATCTATGTTCTACTGGTTCCTCCTTGTTCTCGTTGCAAACCATGACGGCACTCTTCTGAACGTTGGCAGACAATCTCCACTTATCAGTAAACTTCTTCGCCGCGTCAGAGGGGGACGTTTTTTTTTTTTTCGCAGTATATTTTTGTAGAGGCTTTGTTGGCTTTCTCCCTCTCCATTGCGTGCGCTTTTGCGTGTGCTGGTGTTTACAACACGCAGAAGTGCACAAGGACCTTGTTACCAGGTAATTGTTTGATACGTTTGGGATAGTTCATGGTGAGTACATTTGGCGCCGCAAGACAAGTCACTTCGTATAAATAGCTGCGATGGGCTACTACTGTGACTTCTATTACAGTTGGTTGTCAAGTCTTGGGAGTACAGTGCTTGGGGACACCCCTCCCCTCAAGCTAGAAGTAACTTAGAACTTCTTAATGCTCCCGCGACAAGTCCGCGACATTTTTGACCTTGGGAGAATATGGCGAAATAACACACGATACACAAGAACCAAAGGACACGTAAATAAATACCACGTACGTCATCAATCCAAGCATGTACTCAAGCCGGCACCATACCGAAGAGGGGCTGCCGATGAGCCTACGGCGGTGGCATCACCTCCACCACACGCAACACCCGTCCACAATTGCAATTGCCGTGCGTTCAAGTACTTCGTCACTCCCTCAGGCCCCTCCACCTCCCTCGACAGGACTAATCCGCCGTTTCTTCGAGGGCTTTTTCGCCCCGTGCGCCTTCGCCCTCCCTCCTCGTCCCGCCTCACACCGACCCCACCCTCTCCCTTATCCTCCTCCTCCCCCCTCCCCTCCCCAAGCTCTCTCTCCCACTCCCTCCCCCCCTCCCTCTCCCTCTCCTCTGCTACGGACGGTACCGCGGCTGCGGTCCACGCAAGCTCAAACTCCCCCAGGGGCTACGTGGGTTGCTACTAAACCCCCGTGCATGACGTGTGCCCCTTTGAAATATGTGATTTAGCATGGGCGTGTTTATAGGAAATTGTATGGCGTCGGGGGGCGGGGGCGGGATGGGCCTTTGTAACCCCCCTGGAGAGGTCTGAAGTTTTTTTTTGTCGTGTAGGTGCCAGAATTTTATTTTTTGTGCGCCCTTGACACATACACACACACAGAGTTCTGACACGTAGAGCGCAGACTCGAACCCATAACCACAACCACCACCAAACAAAAACGCATTTTCTCTCGGGCAAAAAAAATGTCTCGCCACTCTGTACGACTGCATGGGGCCCAGCGGTCCTCCACTTACCCCGTTCAGAGGGAGGGGGTACTGCGGTTCAACCTTGCCCTTGGCAGACCACTGTTGCTGCACCCGGCCGATGGTCGCTGATCCCTCGTCTTCTACCGGTGCGCCCATGTCCTCCGCAAACACGTCCGTTTTTCTTTTGGGTGGGGGTAGCAGCGAGGGCGGTCGAGTGTTGACTCCGCTGGCTGCAATGTGGCCCCGAATGTGGTTGGCAGCGTTGATGACAGACGCCTCGCATGAGACTACCACGGTACTGCGCACCACGCACGAAGTCGTGCCCAGATGCCATAAATACGGTAAAAAAGAAAAAGAATAAAAGAAAAAGAATAATCGTGCCAACCTTCATCAAGAGGAGCACATCCATCTTGTCTCTCACCGCACGGAAAGGTCTGCGTTCATGGTCACAGTTAAGGGTGCCGCGGAGCGCAGGGTTTGGTTGCCCACAGTCTGACCCCACGAGAGACAGCAGTCGCGGGAGTTGCCCCGCGGTTCGTTCCGCCAAGTATTCCCCGAGAATTTCGGAAAAAATATACGTCGAAGGAAAGCGGCCACGTCAGTTGGGTTCCAGAAAGTGTTGAGCAGAGACCGGAATGACTGTCAATGTAAGGTACAACAACAACAACAGAGGCCGTGTCCAAAGTCCACGTACATGCTTAGAAAGCAGAAATGTGGTAGGGGCATGACGGGTGGACAGTTAGCGCCCTAACGTTTTTTTTTTTTTTCATCGTTGCATCGAACATCAGAATTTGACCCGCCCAGATGTTGTGCCAAATACGTACTTTTTTTTACAGGTAGAGCAGGCGGTTTTACCGGAATTACGTAGATCGTGCCGAGATATTCGCAACACACACCTCGGATGACACTCGGAACCACTGCCCCGAGATGCGCACCGCCTCCCCCCTCCGGATGTGCTGGTTCATGTCCTCTGTCGTCATGGCTACCTCCGACCCGGGCTTTATCCGAATCGATCCGGGGAGCTCGGTGAGGAAGACGTCCCCTCGCGGGTACAAGTTCATTCTTGCGTAGTTTCGAGGGGGGGGGGGGGT